ACCAAATGAGTCACAGTATGAGGAGTACCTGCTAGGAAATACCACATCGTTTGGTCATAGCATGAGTGGTAGTTGTCTCCTCTCAGTGTTAAACAGACCCAACTAGTTCACACAGCTTTGCAGATTTGCCTGTAGTATTTTATCCATTTGCAGCTGTGTATCAACACACCCCAGATGTCCAGGGATAGTGTGATAGAGTCACACACACACAGACACACAGACACACAGACACACACACACACACACACACATAGTAATACTGAGAGTTAGGAACAGAGTGACAGAGTAGAAACGGCAGGTTACAGAGTCTGGGAACAGACACACACTAACAGCAGAGATGGACTTGGATTGAGTCCAGACTGCCTGCCTCGCCAACTGTCAGTCATATTACACCGCTAACAAAGAATGCAATAAGTACCAGCTAATTAAATCAAACTGGATACACTCTTAGAAACTAATACCAGCCCACAGCTTATATTTCTGTTTTTGTGTCAGACTGTGGAATCGATTGCTTTTATACCTGCTCTCAGTCACCAACACACGCGCAGGCGGAGAGGTCCGCACAAACACAGATGCCAAACCCCGCTCGGTCAGTGACCCCTGAGGCAACACGATGTACTGTAATTAAAGTACATTAACACATGCACCACAACTGTTTTTTTTCCCTCACAGCACAGGATGAGGGGCTGTAAAGTGTTTCCCTCATACAGTATTCAGTATCATTATATCCCTCTCCCTTCGTTTGATGTGCTGATCTTCAATCACCCTGCAGTGGAGGGGTGAGGAACATCAGAAAGCTTTGCACTCTGCCTAACTCGGGTTTCAGGATGCTGTGACTTTTTGAACTTTAAGCCGTTTCCATGGGATTTCTGACTTGTGGGGGAGAACTTTATTCCCAGTGACAGGTGACCGGAGAGATGTGACAGAGGGCTGGTCGCGGAAATGGGTAAACTGTGAAAGTTAAGAAGTACGATAGCAGTTTAAAAGTGTGGTGCAGTCTCAAGGTGTTTACTGTAGTTGCCAAAGGGTGTGCGGAAAGATTGATTAGAGTGGCTGGACTAGTTTTAGAATATAATAAGTAACAATAAATAATAGCAATTATGGCCTGCTCAAAATAAAATAAAATTTAAAAAAATAAAAATAAATAAATAAATGAAAAAATAA